ATGTGGCTACCTCGGAGCTGGGGTTTACACTGAGATCTATACTGGGACCAGTCTGGAGGCAGTCCCCAGGGCCTGTCTGTTACTGGGGAGACTGGGCGGCGGGGCTGCGAGAGGAGGAGGAACCCAGGAATCCGGCATGGAAGGAGCCAAAGAACACAGCAGGGGCCGGGCTGTACATTGGGGAAGGGGAGCGCTAGCCCCACCCCCAATCTCCTGCCCTTAATTGGGACCAGTTTCACCTCGCTGCTGGTTCCCAGGTCCCATACCGAACCCTGGGGGGGATGGGGGTGAAGAGAATAGAGCTGTGGGTGGTCTGCACCATTCCTCATTCTTCAGGGGTGGGGCAGCTGTGGGGGGGCACACACATATGATTCTTCATCTTTGAGAGAAATGAGATGTACCATTGCTCATCCTGATGAGAAATGGGACATACCATTCTTCATCCTCAGCAGAAATAGAACATGCCATTCCTCAGATCTCTGACAAATAGGACACAGCACTGCTTATTCCTGGGGAAGGGAGGAATGGGAAATATTCTGATGGGGGGGGGGAACATGACAGGATGTACAGTAACTCCCCACTCTTGGTGGGGGGGAGAATGGGGCATACCATTCTCCACTCTTGGGGGGGAAAATGACATGACACTCCTTATTCTTAGGGGGTGAATAGGATGCACCATTCCTCATTCGGGGGGGGGGGGGCGGGGGGGGGCGCGGGGGGGGGGGGGGGCACGGACGGGACGGGACATGCCATTCCTCATTCTTGTACGAGGATAAGAAATAAACCATTCCTGATACTTGTGGGGGACCAAGACGTACTATTCCTCACTATGGTATGGAAGGAAACACACCACTTCTCACTCCTACATGGGGACTGGGACTCCAGGCGGGGCAGGACGTACCATTCCTCATCCTTGTGGGCCAGGAAGAAGTCCTGCATCTGCTGGCGCCGGAAATCCAGCTTGTAATCATTGTAGCGCTTCACAGCCTCCGTCTCGTCCACCGAGTCGTCCAGGGACAGCAGGAACTCCTTGAAGCTCTTCATCACAGGTGGCGCCATGCCCAGGTCCACCTCCGCGATGTTCCCCAGCCTAGTGGGGGGGCAGAGAGGTCGGGGTAGAAGCTGAGGACAGGGCAGATGGGAGTTAGGAGCTCAGAGGACAAAGGGCACACGCTTACCTTGCCTGGATAGGCAAGATGTGATGCTGCATGACATGCATGTCAGGGTGTGCCCAGGGCTGGGGGGGGCCGTAGGCTGGCCCGGCGCCCCCCCCGCTGTAGGGCATCTCGTAGCCGCTGTGGTAGGGGTCCCCGCTGTGCTCATCCCTGCAGGGAGAAACAGGGGTGTCAGAAGGGGTCAACCCATGGGGGGGGGGCGTGGGGAGGGATGAGGGGGTTGGACTCACCAGTCCCGGCGCATGCGCTTCTGTGGGGGGCTGAGCTCATGGCGGGGCGGGGGGAAGCGCTCCCGCCGGTTCCGGTCGTAGTCTCGGTACTCGCCCCGGCTGCGGCGCTCCCGCCCACGGTCCCAATCCCTGCCAGATTAGGGGAGGGAATTAAAGGCACGGGGGCAACATCTCCCTCCGCTGTCCCCACATACTCCCTCCCCAGGGCTGGGTGCATCCAGGCCTGTTCTACCTAGCCTGGCCCTCTCCCTCTCCCTGAGCCACCTGCACTTTAACCCCACATGCTATACCTCGCTGCTCTTCCCACCCTAGCGCTGGCTACATCCCTGGTGCTGTTACACCTGGCTGTGCTCTACCCCAGAGCTGGGCACATCCCGGCCCTGTCACCCCCCCAGCCGGGCATCCCGGCCTGGCCCCCACCGGTCGTTCCAGTCGTCGCGCCGCCGGTCGTCGCGCTCCCGCGAGCGGTCGTAATCGCTGCGCTCACGCCGGAAC